GAGGACCTTTGTCCCAACGTGATGAAGAAAGCCCACATTCGACAAGACTTGATTCATGCCAGCACTGAAAAGATTTCCATCCCACGTACCTTTGTGAAAAATGTCCTGTTGGAGCAGTCTGGAATTGACATCCTTAACAAGATTAGGTAGGTTTATGACTGTCGTTTCTGTGGTCGCAGTCGAGGCAGCTGGGAGGAGTGTCACTGTTGGCTCCAGCCATGGATAACATGTAGGCACGTCTAATAGGCAGTCCTGGCATATAGACAGCTGTGCGTAAACGCCTAGGTTTGTACATTTCCAAAACAAGACGGGTGCAGATATGCCTGCCTTACTGAAGAGCGGACGGCTCTCTGCTCCGCTTTAATAGGGGGTACATGTTTGTAGTCCCTTTTTTTCTTCTCCTGAAGCGTATCTTCCACCTTTAAAAATTACTAACTTGAAGTTTGCTTTCTGCCACCGTGCTGTTCTGAGCAAATGCACAGTCTAGAGATAAGCCAAAAGGCCCGGCGTGGCCTCGCGGCTGTTTCCTCCTGTGTTCTCTGGCAGGTCTGGGTACTGTGTACGTGCTGATGCTGCTCTGGACTGTTGGCTGATTTGTGCTTGATAAAGTTTAAAAAAATACGCCAAGGGGCGCCTGGGTGGCTCAGTCGTTAAGCATCTGCCTTCGGCTCAGGTCATGATCCCAGGGTCCTGGGATCGAGCCCCGCATCGGGCTCCCTGCTCGGCGGGAAGCCTGCTTCTCCCTCTCCCACTCCCCCTGCTTGTGTTCCCTCTCTCGCTGTGTCTCTCTCTGTCAAATAAATAAATAAAATCTTTAAAAAAAAAAAAATACGCCAAGTTACAGATATTGAGAAGGTGTGATCACCAAACAAACTTTCCTCTCTTTCCACCTAGAAACTCCGGGGTGGTTGGCAGTCTGAACGATACTCCACGAATTCTCCATGTTTCTCTGTTGGGGAGTCAGCAGACTAGAAACTAAATTCAGAAACACTCTCAAGTATCCCCTTTTAACTGTTCCTGAATCTCAATAAGAAGACTTCGATGTAGGGGGAGAAAAAACAACCAACAACAAAAACACACAAAAAACAAAACCTCAGCTTTTATCTGAAGAAGTGGGAGTTGTGTCAACAAAGAACGAGTGATGTGTAGCCAAACGAGAACCTGAGAAAAATGAGAGTTAAAATAAGCCAAAAATGATATTACAACCTAGATATGGAAGGTAGATCATGGAACTTTGAGGCTTGAGGAATTCTGCAGTGATGAGATCATCTTGGGTCTAAGGTGCAGCTGTCCTGTGTGTGTGTTGGGGTTTCTAAAAGTAAAACTCCAGGGCACCTGGGTGGCTCAGTTGTTGAGCGTCTGCCTTTGGCTCAGGTCATGATCTCGGGGTCCTGGGATCAAGTCCCGCATCGGGCTCCCTGCTCAGCGGGAATTCTTCTCTCTCTGCCTCTGCCTCTCTCTCTGTCTCTCATGAATAAATAAATAAAATCTTTAAAAAAAATAAATAAAACTCTAGTGCCAACTGAGCTAAATGGTAAGACTTGCACAATGAAAGGCCATTTAGAACATGTACAGGACCCCATAGATCAGTGATTTTATTGACTCAAGCGTGACTAGGTATGCTTACATAGTTCTGCAACCCGTAGTTTTAGGATTTTTATTGAAGCCCTTGAAGTATTAAGGAGGAAAAAATGCATTGGCCACCATTCTTCTGTCCTAATGGATTGAATTACCAGTGGATCATACTCTGGTGCCTTTACTAGGAGTACCAAATTCTGTCAGATATGGTCACTTCTTTTGAAGATGGGCAAATTCTGGAAAGTGAACAGCAGGCTAGAACTCCTTCTATCAGTGAATCACTTCTATGTTCATTAACTCCTTGCTTGGCTTTTTAAAATGTGTTATTTGGAGCACTGATGGAATGAAAATACAAATGTCCACACCTGTGTATACATCCAGATACAGCTGTGCCCACGCAGGTTAAGTGGAATCATTTCCTCTAAAAAGTTTGCAGTTTGGAAGTTCAATAAGGAAGCATATTATCCGGTAACAAAATGATAGCACAATCCTGAAACATTTTTTTTTTTTTTTTTGGTGCACTTTAAAGGATCTTTTTTGGTGCTACAATTTGAAACAGATAAACCATCCCTCCCCAATTGGTGCGGGGTGGGCAGAGAAATAAAACTACCGATTCTATAGTTTTATGAAGAAGTAAAATTCCCAAACATGCCTGAAAAAATGAGAGGAAGTACTTGTCAAAATTAGATAATCCCAGCCCGCCCCCCCCCCGCGTTACCCCCACCTCCCACCCCAGGTTTGGGGTGGGACCCAGTAATCTGTATTTTTAATGAGACCCAGGTGAATCTTATCAGACACCTCTGGGGAATAATAAAGTAAAGTATTAGATAAGCCCAGTAGCTCCCAAGACCTTGTTTCGGGGACAGGAATTAAAGAAACATCCTTTTATCTTTAGCCTAGGAAAATTTCTAATGTAGACATCAAAGACTTAGTGCCTCCATTTTTCCCCGCCATCTAAAATCTGCCTTGCCAGAAAAAATCTCAGTGCAAATCACTGCCTTTCGGTTAGAAAGGTTTTTCCCTGTTACACAAATATACTTTCAACCTTGGTTTTAGGATTAAATAATTATATTTTGATAACTCCTTTCCCTGCTCTAAAAACTTGAGAATTCTTGACTTCAAAAGTAGATTGAACTTACGAGGCGATATTGGAGCGTGGGTCTATCTCTCCAGCACATTCGCCTCCAACTGTATTGTGCATTTATGTCCATTTGTGCATACGTGCATTTCAGTAGGATTATTCAGACTGAAGACACACAGGTAGAATTAAATTCTTGGGAATACCAAATAACTAAAATGCAGACTGAAATACCAGCTATCTGACAGAGACCCTCATGGCTGACTTGTTTATTAGTGAAAACTCCAAAACTAGTGGGTTACTTTCAGTTGACTGGACACCTTCTTAAGGTCAGGTGAGAGACACCGAAACTGCATGTTTTGGTAACCTCTGTTCATAAAAGGCAAGAGAACAGTGAATTTGTCACAGTTTGAAGTAAGACGGGGAGTACAGCAGAAGCAGTTCAATATGGTACCATTGGACTGGTAAAAAATTTTGTATTTTTTTTTAAGGCGGGGGACATGCATATTAAAGTAATAACCCAAGTTTAACAATCAGACTAGACTTTCTTAATTTACTCCAGCCCAGGTTTGTTTTCCTTTATGTCAATGGAAGAATTGTTCCTCACCACATGGTACATCTGGTTCCCATTAAGTTTGTCTTTATCCAGATGTTTTTCATTTCTACCACTAAATCTTGAGTTTTGAGATTGCAGAGGCAGGTTGAAATTGGTCAAGCAAGTCTATTACCTGTGTGTTTAAGGCTTATTTTTGGAAATCCTTAGCCTTGTTCACACATTCTTCTATTCCACTTTCAAAGACAGAAGCGGAATCACAGTTGACCTTATCAACATAGCATCAGGGGTGGGTGATATTGCACAAATTTAAATGCTACTGTGTCCTTTTGCTTTTCACATAGTGAAGTGAAGCTGACAGTGGCCTCCTTCCTGTCTGATCGGATTGTGGATGAAATCCTGGATGCACTATCACACTGCCATCATAAACTGGTGAGTGCTGTGCACATCTGGCGTGGGGCTTCCAGTTGTGTTCTGTTGTGGTCTGCTGGTCTTTCCACCGCAGTGGGAAGAACAGGGCAGGCTCCAGGTTGGGGATGCCGCTTCTTTCCTGCATCTTACTCCTCTGCAGCTTTATGGGCCACGATCCTGCTTTTCCTTTCCTACATTGCTTCCAGACCATTCTAGAACATGTTAGAATCTCTCCAGAGGGAATGGAAGGGGAACGAGACGTGGTGGTGTTGAGAAATTTTGTTGTGCATTTATAATGCAGATACAAAGTTTTGTTAAGAAATAATGCTGAAATCGAGATCTAAAATGAAGGTATTTTAGATTATTTAATTTCTCTGTGCTTATTTTGTTGTTCTTCGACATGATCATGTGAGAATAGACTATTCCTGAAAACATGGGGTGAGGGGAGGGGAATATTTGGGGTCCAAAGAAAAGACCAGAGTAAAATGGACACATTCTAGGGATCGGTAGCTGCCGCGTGTCCAGCCAGGCCTCTTGGATATAACCGAGGTAAAGACATAAATTTTCTTCGTCTAGAGACTGGTTTTATTGAGGTAGAAGACTTTACTTCTAATACCACTGCATATAAAAAATATATCAGAAACTTCATGTGTTTTCAACTTCAGGAAGTCCTCTGAGGCACAGATGAAGGTTTCGTTACTCCTTACATCTCGTGTTGTGAACATTTTAGCAATGTGATGTGGTATGAATCTCTCGAGCAAGTTAGGACATTTTCCCCAGAGAAGCATTTCAAGTTAAGTGCAGGCTGGAGATAGCTGGCTTTATGGCATGGAAGTGTTGGTGATGCCAGGGAGCACCACAGTGGGAAGAACAGTAACCGTGGATTCTCCATGAGGCAGACAACATGAATATTTCAGAAAAATGCATAGGCTGTCCTCTAAAATCGAAAAGATGGGACAGGAGTTTCTCGCAGCGTCACTGAAAATACCGCCCATGGGCTGGAGCTGGCCCACTCACCACGGGGCACCTGTGCCTGATGAGGTTAGGTCACCAACCAAGAGGAAACGTGGAGAAATTTCTAGAGCAACTGGAGATGGCCACAATGCGCAAACACATGTTATTTCTCTAAAGTATCATTTTTGTACTTTACTAATATACCGGTGTGTGGCAAGCTGGAAATAGAGAAAACTGGTTCACCACCCCACAGACTTTAAGAAGCACTAGCTTCTGGTTTGTGGCACAGGAAAGGCCTATGTTAGGGGCGCCTGGGTGACTCAGTCATTGGGCATCTGCCTTCAGCTCAGGTCATGATCTCAGAGTCCTGGGATTGAGCCCCACATCGGGTTCCCTGCTTGGTGGGGAGTCTGCTTCTTCCTCTCCCTTTGCCTCTCCTTATGTTCCCTCTCTCGCTCTGTCTCTCTCTCAAATAAATGCATAAAATCTTAAAAAAAAAAAAAAAAAAAAAGGAAAGGCCTATGTTAGGGTCTAGAGCTCCCAAGTCAGACTTTTCCTTTTTTTAAATAAGCAGAAACAAAATCAATGGAACATCCTTTATAGAAACAATTTCTCAATAACCCATGGCTGCAGGGACGGCCTCAAAATGCCCCCTTCATATTGTACCAACATGATTGCACGTGAGCACCACACTGAATGGCTGAATTGTTCACTTTTTTTGCATTTGTCTTTCTTTGAAGAATTTACTCAGAAAAATACCAACTTTTTTTTTTTTACAATTTAAAAATGAACTATGTGGGTGCACTTTTGTATTGAACTTTATTTTAATATTCTGATTTGGGTTGTAAGAAGAGAGCTTAACTTCTATGTGAAAGGAATAGTATCTAAAAAATGAAATTTTGTTTTCAAAGACATTCCAATTACATGAATATATTCTCCAATTTAAGTTTAGAAGTGTCGCCAGTGGTTCCACGGTATTGTCAGCTGGTTCTGATCCTTTCCAAAGAATTAAATCAAAGTTCCTGGTGATGAATCAGCCCAGCACTAGAGTTTATTAACTTCAGCCCAGTTTATTCTACCTCTTATCATTAATGTTTTTAGGTTTACCTAAAGCATAACAGTGGAAATTAATAAATCCTATCACATACGGTGTTCATTACCTGAAAACAATGAAAGCTGTTAGCAATTTCCTTCCTTTCAGCCCTTTAAAAACAGGGAAGGTTGGAATCATTTTATTTCCCCTAATTAGATATTTTTAAAACACTAGATATAGAAAGAAATTATTTCAGAGGAGGGGCGCCTGGGTGGCTCAGTCATTAAGCATCTGCCTTCGGCTCAGGTCATGGTCCCAGGGTCCTGGGATCGAGCCCCGCATTGAGCCCCGCATCAGGCTCCCTGCTCCGCAGGAAGCTGGCTTCTCCCTCTCCCATTCCCCCTGCTTGTGTTCCCTCTCACTATCTCTCTCTGTCAAATAAATAAGTAAAATCGTAAAAAAAAAAAAAAGAAAGAAAAAGTTTAAAAAAAATTTCAGAGGAAGTATGAAATAAAATTAATGAAAAGAACACTCCTTATTTTCTTCTGGACTAAGTATTCTTGTATTTTACTAAAGGAGGTTTTATGATTTCTTGCTTAAGACAACCCACCCTCCAAAGATAACAAGAGGTGAGTTACTGTAGTGTGAGTGTATTAAGAATTGTCCGTAACCGCACGCAGGTAGAATCCTTCACCGCGCCACCTTGTGGCAGGTGTCTTCCAGAATTCAGCTAACATGCTCTTCCCTTCCTTGCCTCTGGTCCTTCTTCTTGACTCTCTTAGGCTGACCATTTCAGCAGACGGGGCAAGACCCTTGCTCAGCCAGAGACCTTAGAGATTGAGCTGGCTGAGGAGAAGCCAACTAAGCGCTCTGTCATGACGGTGGAGGAACTCACGGAGATGGAGCGTTTGGAAGATCTGGATACTTGTATGGTAAGACACGTCCTTTGGTGACACAATTACCCCATCACCACTGGGCTTTGCTACTGATTTTTTTTTTTTTTTTTGGAGATCTCACCATTACAAACCAGACCAAATAGAACTCCCTCCCAGAGATCATTCTTTCAGAAACTTGTTGCTTACAGAGACTGTTAAGCTGAAGCTTCAGGTCCCCACTAAGGCCCTGTACCTTACTTTGGATTTGTAATTTTGTAAAACTTCGCTTTATTTCATTTTATTCTATTCTGTATTCCAGTGTAATTAACATACAGCGTAATATTAGTTTCAGGGTTTACAATATAGTAATTAAGCACTTCCATACATCACCCAGCGCTCATCACGACAGGTGCGCTCCTTCATCCCCATCACCTGTTTGCCCCATCCCCCAGCCACCTCCCCTCTGATCACCATGTCAGTGTGTTCTCTAGAGCTAAGAATCTGTTTCTTGGTTTGTCTCTCCCTTTTATTCTTTTGCTCGTTTTTTGGGGATATTTTGTTTCTTAAAACTTTTCTTAAGGAGTACTTCCATACCCCCTCCCAAGGAAGAGTTCTGGAAGTTACAGTGAGCATAATACCTAGATCTGTCCCTATAGCTTCAGTGGAAAAAATTCCTAAATTCTTTAGGAGAAATTGATTATTTAACTTTTGAAGGTCATTTGTGACAAGAAAATATTTTTAAGTAAGCCATTAAAAATGTGGGGAGGACTTTTTCCCGCACAAAATATGTAGGATGGCTATTTCTCTCTCGGTCCTATCATTTTTTTATTTTCTCTGGTGCTTTTTCCCGTTTTTAATTTACACAATTTGGGGGTATCCTCTTATATTTGCATTTCCCATTTAGTTTATATTCTGTTTAATTCCCTTGATGTGATGTGCTTTAGAAGATGGAATATACACCTAGTGTCTGCCTAGCAGTAGGTCTTGATTCCTAACTCACTTTCTGAATTTCACATGGTGTATCCATCTGGCCACGTAACTAGAGTGTTCAGTATGTTGATGTTTTTTCCCCCTCTGAGGACAATTTTACTTAAGTTCCTATTTCATTATTTTAGAATTTGTATTATTAGTATTAGTTACTTCTTTACTGTAAAAACAGTTGTATGTGCTCTCAGTATTTTTGTTTCACTAAAATAATTAATCTTTTAGGAATTCCTCAAAATCTGAGAGAGTGCTGCTAGACAACATCTGGGCTACTTCTTCACCCAAATGTTTCTACATCAGCTAATAATTCTAGTAATTTTTAGATTCGGCCATTGTCAGGAATGATACTTATTTTTAACTTTGAAAACCAAGGATTTGATGGCCTGCTGTGATTTTTCTAGCCCAGAAGAAAAGGTAATGCTTTAAGTAGTTCCTTATTTATAAGCCAGCCAATGTTACCTGTTAAAGTCTGTGAGTAGGGGCACCTGGGGGGCTCAGTTGGTTAAGCGTCTGCCTTCGGCTCAGGTCATGATCCCGAGTCCTGGGATCGAGCCCTACATCGGGCTCCTGGCTCAGCGGGGAGCCTGCTTCTCCCTCTGACCCTCTCCCCTCTCATGTTGTTTCTCTCTCTCTCGCTCGCTCTCAAATAAATAAATAAATAAATAAATAAATAAATAATAAAATCTTTAAAAAAAAAAGTCTGTGAATAAAATAATTGAGAACCCTCCTGATAAAACCCTATCATATACAAGGAGGCTAGCAAAGAAGGCCAAAAATATCCTAGATTTCAAATAACATTCTAGTATAGTGAAAGATGACAAATAATTTGCTATATAACTATGTAAACTTAAAACTGTATTTGTTCTATGTAGGGGGAATTATCAAGTTTTTTAATAACTTGTCTAGTATATTGTAAAATGTATCTTTAGTATTTTTTTACTTTGCATCTTGAGACAATGGAAGTTAACAAAGGGTGATTATTCCAGAAAGCTTCTAGTTTAACCTTAAGAGAAAATAAGTATGTTATAGGAAATAGATATGAATTAAAAATCCAAATTAACTCTACATGTCACATTTCCTGCCAGAATTATTCAGTCATGTGTGAGTTGGGAAGGAGTAAAGAAAATGTGAGCTTATAAGACACATTTTGTTGCGTTTGTAAGTTATGTGTTTTAGGATGAGAGAGTGTTGGCTAAGAATGACTGGTTTAGCTACTGTAAGGATGGTGTTTCACTGTGTAAACTTTATTTTTGTTTGATTGACTGCTTTGGTTTTGTCATGTGAAAGAAAACGGTGGTTGTTCTTAAAGTGGGTGGGGTGAGAGGAGAGGAGAGGAATCATTTCTTTAAATTTATTTTACATTAAGATATAATCAACATATAATACCCTTTTAGTTTTATTTATTTATTTTTTTAAAGATTTATTTGGGAGAAAGAGCATGCACCAGTGGGGGGAGGGGCAGAGGGAAAGAGAATCTTAAGCAGGCTCCACGCCCAGCACAGAGCCCCACTCGGGGCCCAATCCAGGATCCTGAGCCAAAATCAAGAGTCAGACACTTAACCAGTTGAGCCACCCAGGCGCCCCTTTACTTATTTATTTTTTTAAAGTAAACTCTACACCCAGTGTGGGGCTTGAACTCACGACCCCTGAGATCAGGAGTCATAGGCTCTACTGACTGAGACTGCCAGGCATCCCAACCTTGTTTTACTTTTAGGTGTATGACATAATGATTTGATATATGTATATATTATAATATCCTAAGCCACCCACAGACAGCGCATTTTACACCGTGGCAGGTCCTCTGAGTGCAGGGAGCCCTCTCCTGTATACAGAAAATCAATTTTCTGAGCTTTGGGCTTTTTACCCTAAGCCAATAGCCTAAATTCAGAGCGAATTTGAAAGGAATAGAGGATTCGTCTCACCTTTTAAAATTACCCTCACTGTCTCTTTCATAATCAAAGCAGCAAATCGTTTGTGTTTCTCGTTGACATCCATTACCAAATATTCAAGTTGTGGTCCTCACGTGGCGCCATTTTAAAAGGGTTTGAAGAACAGATTTGCAAGGGAGAGACATTTAATTTGTTTTGGTTTTCTAAATGAGCCTGTGCACATGCCTTGGCAGCGTTTCTGGCTTAAGTGATCCGGGAAGACAGGATACAAGGTTAACTGTTGTGTGGAAGAGTCCCAGAAGGACAAATGCCTCCGTGCCTGCCGACAACTTTTCCCACGTGGGATTGTGAGTCACTGGCGGGTAGAATTTGTGCCATACACAGAGCTAGAGCACTGTGAAGTGTGATGTTGTAACTTTGCTATTACCTAAAATGTTGGTTGATAGCCCAGAGCCCTGTGACACTTTCCCTAGGGCATTCCAAAGTAACTTGGACTCATCACCAACCTTCTTCTTAGAGATTCTACTTATAGAGTCAGAATCCTGGCGTTTTTTGCCTGTGATGTTCATGACATCTGCTAAATCTATTTTTGAACATTTCTTTAACAAACTTAGTAGGCAATCTGGGCATCTCTTTTTTCCCTACCCCCAGATATCTTATCATCATGTTTCTTCCATGTCTCCCTGGTCCAAAAGTCAATTCCATTTCAGTCCTTATGTCTCTGTAAAGAACCAATAGTTATAATCACACTAAGGAAGGTTTAGCGCCATAAATTAGAGGTAGAAATTTATTAGTCGAGTTCAAGGGTTGCCTTTTTGGAGATGGAAACAAATTTAATGTATATGGCTGATTGCTTAAACTTACTCTTTGTCTAAGTGAGGGCTGAAATTAGGATGAGTGAGTGGTTTGAGAGGCCCTATTATCTGCTGGCAGGGCAGGCCAGGGATTTGGGGTGGGGGGCGGTTAGGGAGGGTGCCCGAGACCTTCTCATCAACCTTAATTTCATAATTGTTGAAGGAAAAGGCAGTTTTCTTTAAATAAAAGGGCAGAGTTAAAAAACTGTCTTCAATCTAATTATCTTTTTCTTTTAGCTAGAAAGAAACAAAGGAGTTATCTAGTTCAAGTGGTGGGTGTCATGGGAGGTGGGGGGGGGGTCCTGGATAGAACAAGAACCATGAGAATAACCTGCAGACATTTTCCAGTGTGTGCCCACTCTCATAGCCCCAGAGATTCTGATGTCAGTTTACTCCAGACAGAAAATCAGATGATTTAAAAAGTCTTCTTGTTCATTTATTTAACACTTAGATGTAGTCCCTGTAATGTGCTGGGCACTATTCTTAGCTCTTTATGAAGAGTACCCAGTTCAGCCCTTTCAACCACCTGTGAATGATAGATATCATTAATATCTTGTGTCTAATAAGTGGGTAAACTGCGGCATAGAAAAGTAACTTCTTCAAGTGGCCTGAGGTCACTCAAAGGCAGGCAGTTTGGGATCGTAGTCTGCGTGTTTAACCAGTATATGGATATCATATACGGTGTATTTCTTACATCCAGAATTAAAGCTTCGGTAAGATTTAATTACACTTGCACTGCTTTGTGTAACATATCTGCTTACTAATTCCAGACTAAATTGATATGTAAACAGGAACACAAATGAAAGACGCGTGCCGGATAACTATAATGTAAGCCTGCAGGTTTTAAACATGATTGGAAACTGCTGTGTCAAAAATCCTGACATGCTCAATTGTTAGAAATGAATCTGCCCACTTTGGGCCTACCTGGAATATTCCTTGCCTTTCCATGTGTTATTTTGTTGGCAATAATGATTAATTAGCTTTCCTAGACTTATAATCTTAACACCCATGCCTTCTATGTCCTGCTGAAACGTGTATTTACTTAGCCTCTTGATTGTCCGTAGACCATCTGTTCTTTCCTGCAATCAGGTGTTCTTAGGAAATCAGTATTCCCAGCTGTCTCTTTCAACTTCACTTTATCATTGGCCTTTGGGATATTGAAGGATGCAGTTCGCATTCTACTGATCAGTTACTTCTCAGTATTTAATTTATCGCTATATATAGTTTACCACCTTTAAAAAATTACAGAAGCTCGGGGTTTAGGATTACGTGCCAAGTGGGTGAAGAGCCAGTGTCTGCTCCTTAGCATAACTAGCTCACTAATTGTATG